CCGAAACTTTTCAAAGAAATTGCAAAGATGCACAACTTACAGCAGTGCATTCTCTGACATTTYCTGAACTTTACATGCTAAATTTATAACTCGACAAAGTATTCTACGCGTAGACAATAGAGTGTACTTTAATTTAATATAAGTTTAATTAAAATCTATTAACTTTTAGTATAAAAAATAGTTACCAAAACTGTTCAAAGAAATAGCAAAGTTGTACAATTTACAGCATTGCAATCTCTGATATATATATGGATATATTATATATATATATATATATATATGGATACATCAAATAAAATAAGCCGAACTTCAAAGTAACATACACTTGAAGCTGAATTCTCGAAACGAACATGATGTATCACACATGTTCCACGTGGTAGCGAACGTTACAAACCAATTAGAAATTTACCTTCGTAGTCCTGTCTTCAGGTTTTTTGGCAGAATCATTAGTCCTTTGAATGGATACATCCTCTTCTTCTTCGTTTCGTTTATTTTGCGTTAAGAAACGACATATTACGTATATTACTATGGCTATTGGTAACAATATTAATTCTGGTGTAAGCCAATAAAACACTTCCCATACCGATGCGTTATCTAGTTTTACTAAACCTATGTGTCTGAATAATTCTTCCATGAATTGACCTGTCAACACGGCATTAATATCCTTTAATTTGTTCATTTAATTGAATTAATTGAAATTATACAATTATTTTTTACATATTATACGTACAGTCTTGAAGAAAATAACCGTACGGTGGCATTGCTAATAAAACTATGTGAAAGGTAAGCTGAGTTATGGCAACTAGGAAGCACAAACAGATGGTTGCCTTTAAGTAAAGTCCGGTATGACCGGACATTGTTTTGTTTGTGGGTGTTGGGACTATTGGCGAATACAATGCCAGTCCCAAATATACTAGGGACAATCCTACCGGCCGCCATATCGTACCTTAAATATAATCATTTCAAAATTACATTAGTTTTTTCAATTGATATTTTAGATGATGTCATATGGTGTCACGAATTTAAAAAACTAAAGTCGTCTCTTTTTTTGTATTAAATATTTTCAAGATATGACGAAGTGTGATCTAAATAATTAAGCAATTTTACATCGCAAATTTAGTAACGTGTGTCATTTGTATGTAATTAAAAAGTGGCTTAGTTAAACAAGTACTTTGTTGTTTGATGCATTGAAAAGATTATAGCAATGTATGCATATGACTAATGTAAGCCTTGCGAGTTGAGTTTTTAGATATAGAATACTAATTAGTATGACGAAGCACATAAGATAAATTCTCTCTCATATTTATAACTATGATAGAATATATTTAGAATGTATTCGAAAAATCTACATATTAATCAAATATTATTATAAATCGATTGTTTAGAATTGTGGTTTATTCTAAAACGTTAAATAGACAGACACACGTGTCTCGTGATAATGGATTTTGTAAATGTGCCAACTATGTGTTACTAGGAATAATTCGAACACTATACTATTATATCGAATTATATGTGTTTCGAATTTAAATTTTGATATTTGATACTTTATACAGCGTTATATGTTATATATTATATTTTATTCATTAACAAGATGATTATTTTAATTAATTTTTATCATATTCTAAAATTCTACCGTATTATACATAAGAGGAAACATTAAAAAGTATATATATATATATATAAATAGATATTATAAGTGTATATAATAAGGAAAAATAAATTAAAAAATATTACTAACAAGTTTTATATTTCTCGATTGGTATAATAATTTATCTTGCCGACAAAGTTAAAGGTCAAAGAAGACCTCGATGAAATAAAAGGAGGATCACGAAACTCGTGCGTAATGAGGTCACGCGTTTATTCGAGACATTTTTTTGTCATTCCACATTTTTTATTTCATTTCTTTTAACTGGAATAAAAAAAAAAACCCCCATAATTTATATAGATATCATTCAAAGCACGATGATTATTCGTTGTTTCAAATTTTACTTCTAAACTTATTATTTGATCATGTTAATTATATATTTTATTGTATAACGTTATATAAAATTCTCTTTCGATTATTATAAAACTGAAGAATAAATTGAATAACTTCGAATAACGTGACAACGTCTACGAACGAAATACGGAAACGAAAACTTAGGTCATCTAATTTTAGGTAACACTTAAAAGCACACTGTTCAAAAATGTCGCGAAAGTGAGTGGATAAAACTAACGATGGTTTGAAAAAAAAAAAACTTGATTTCTAATCGTAATAAAAAATTCAATATCACTAAATTGACTTCGAGTGTTTCTATTTTTAATTATGACGTTAGCAACAAAAAAAATATAGAAGAAAATAGAATATTTTACTCATTAATATATAGAAGGAAACCTTTAACAAAGTTCTCACGACTTAAGGTCATTAGTCTATCGTAAAATCCATTCCAATAGCATGATGTCATCGAACATGCGGCTCTCCTATCATTGTTCGAATAATAAAAATCATTGCACTGTTTTTTTCTCAACTGTACGATCACAAATGAGAAATCACAAACATTGTGCAATCAAATTAAAATTCTTTCCATTTCTATTTCATTGAAATATTCCAATATCAATTATTTATTATAATTCAATATATATATGTGAATACAATATATTGTATGTGAGTACAATTATATTATATATGAAATATATTATTATATTATTATGAATAATTATATATATATATATATAAATGAATTATTTCAAATGATATATATAATTATATCATATATATTATGAATATA